CCACGTGGCAGTCAAGCCCCTACTTGAGGATTGTCATACATGAATATTTACACAACGACAACAACCACAACACCACCATCACCTCCACAAAACTTCAGAGTAAACGGTAGGATGTTACTGGTACACAGGTTACTTGTTCAGCATCAGGTGTCTGGCCTGAACCAGGGCATTGTGATGGTGTTCACGCCCCTGCCCCCTCCCTGCACCACCCTCATGTGGGCTCCACACAGGCACCAAGCATTGCCACACGTGTGGGAGACCTCAAAACGTGTCTCGGGGTTGAAGGCAAGTTGNCAGCCTGTTGAAGGCAAGTTGCAGTCACACAACGCTGGTGCTTTACTGTACAATCCCATGAGCCTGGATGGCTCCAGGAGCGGGCGACCGCGGGACGCTGTAACAATCCTAATCCTAATCCTAATNCCAGCCTTGTGTGCCAGTTGGCACCATGGGTTGCCCCAGCCACCAGCCTGTGGGCAAGCTCACACACTGGCTTGTAACGGTTGGGGGGTGGTGGGTGCAAGGAAGGGATTGTTTGCATGCCTAGGGTCACCTTGAGGTAGCCCTCCGGCATCACATGCATGCCAGGGGTTGCCCTCACAAGCTCAGGGTCATAGGGCATGCACAGGGGAGTGGGCACCATGCCCTGCAAGGCAACACCCAATGCTTGGTAGCCGAGGAGCTCATGGGGGTGGTCTTGAAGGCGTTGCTGCAGGGCTGGGTTGTTGAGGGTGCCCAGGTATTGGGCCTTGTTGATGACCAGCACACTGCCAAGCCTGTCAAAGAGCTTCTCTAGCTCCACAGCTGGGCCTGGGTTTGCTGCATCCCTGAAAAATCTGGACCTGCAACTGTTGGGGCCAAAGACTCTAACAATTTGAGACAAACAACTGTTACTACCATCAGCCATGCCAACAAACTTCTGGGGGTTCAACCCACTCCCAGGGGGGGCCTGCCACAACTTGATGCCTCCATCAGCAACACTCAAGGCCTCCCAACGAACCCACATCTCCTCCACCGAGCGCCTTGGGGGGACACTGGGGTGTGTGGGCAGGTGGAGGGGAGGGGGTGGTGCGAGGTGAGGTGAGGGTGGAGGATATTGGTAACTTGGGCATCAGGTAGCCAGGTGTCAAGTAATCCGTTACTAGGTAACAAGTAACAAGTTACTCGCATTCTGCACTGCCTGCCCCTGCCCAGTTGCAGCCTGCCCCGCACACCTCATTCGTCCTCCTCGTCGGTCTGCTCGTCGGTCTTCTCAATGTAGCCGACCACCTCCACGTTGGGAATCTTGAAGACCCGCGGCTGCTTCAGCATGGCGTTCTCCGTGCCCGTGAGCAGCTTGATCACGTTGGGCCCGTAGCGGGCCCCCGTGCAGCAGAGCTCGTGGTACACCTGCGTGACGGGTTCCGCACGGCGTGGGTTTAGGGCAATGTAGGTGGGCACTGGCAGTAGGTGGGCACTGGCCCTTGGCCTGTATCCTTGATGCAGGCAGCTAGCTGGCTGTGCAGGTTTACCACGAACACGTGTTACCCGTAAACCAGTAACCGGTAACGCCTTACCCAGTCTGTCTTAGGCTCACCAGCAGCAGCAGGTTGGCAAAGGGGGTGGTGCCAGTGGGCCACCCGACGCTCTCGGCGTGGCTGCGGCACAGGTTGTACGTCGGCCAAAAGCAGTTGGAGGCCGGCAGCTGCAGCTTGGGGATGCCCTTCTTATCCTTCTCCTTGTCGGGGTCGGCCCTCTTCATCTCCTTGGGGACGAAGCGGACGGCCCGGTCCCGCCCCACGACCGAAACTGCGCGGTTGCGATTGCGAATGTATTCGTATATTTATCGCGCGCAGGGCAAGGCGCCAGGGGCGAGGGAGCGCGGAAGGCAAAGCTAAGTGCTGTGGCAGTAACTCGTAAATCGTAAACTCAAAGCCCGCAGCATATGCACAGCAGCAGCAGCAGCAGCAGCAACGCAACAGCAACAGCAACACCGCCCCGCTCACGTTTCTTGCTCTGGAACTCCTTGGCGAGGTTGGCCAGTGCGGCCGCCCTCTCCAGCGGCCCTGGCAAAGGGGAGGGCGCACGGTGGATGTGCTGTGTAAGTCGTCTGCATTGCCAGCAGTGGGAGGGGGCAAGGGCCTGCACTTGTAGGCCACGAGTTACTGGTAACCCCGTTATCTGCCTACCAGTTACCCTCCCCGGGGTTGGTGGCCCGCTCACCAAGGGCCTCCAGATCGTCGCTGCTCTCCGACCCCGCGGGGTCCTCGCTGCCCAGCGCGTCGTCCTCCTCCTCCTCCTCCTCCTCGCTGCTGATGTCGAAGGTGACCTCGCTGGGAGGCAGGGCGGGCTTCTTCCCCGCGTCCTTGCCCTTGGCCTTGCTGGGCTGCTGCTGCTGCTGCTGCTGCTGCTGCTGCTGCTTCTGCGGCTTCTGCGGCTTCTGCTTCCCCGGTGCAGGCGCTGATGGGCCCGCCTCGTCGTCCTGCTGCTGCTTCTGCGGGCCCTTTGCGCTGTGGCCGCGCTTGCCATGGGCCGTTTTGACGTCCGAGCCCTCCCCTGCGGTTAGTGGGCCGGGGCATGCACGCGAACCCGACCTCACTGGCGCCCACAAAATTCCTGAGGATGCTACGATTAAGGCTCCGGTGCGAAAACAGCGACAGCAGGCAGCCACTGCCAACCCGTGTATCACCCTACCCCGGTTACTAGATACCGAGTAAAAGGTAAACATGAAGCACCTGGCACCCCCTTGTGCAACACCCAACTCCACCTACCCAAAATAAAATATGTCACAACACCCTCTCACCCCTCTTCGGGACCTTGCCCTTAGGCTCGGGGGTGGGGTCGTCCACGGATGGCGCAGGCCGCTCGTGCGCGGCCTTGCCCTTGCCCTTGGCCGCGGGCGCTGATGCCTTGCCTGCAGCCCCAGCCTGGCTCTTGGCCTTGCCAGCCGCTGTTTCATTGAATGTTATGAGTGGGGAGGGATGGAAGGAGGGTAGGGTTTTGGGACATGGGGAGGGTTGGGGACCAAGGAAAGCCAAGCCAATGTCACGCACGCACGCACGCACACACGCAGGCACGCGCGCACGCTCGCACGCACGCTTGCTCGCACGCATGCACGCACGCACAATGTCTCCCTCCCTCTCTCTCTGTCACCCTTGACCAAAAATATTGACCGCACGCACCCCAAACCACGCTCCGCTCACCGAGTTTGGCCAGCGTCTCCGCCAGCAGCCGCTCGTCGTCATTGGTCACCGTCGTCTCATCGTCATCCGCCCGTAGGCCCCCGTCC